TGAACAGACGGGTCAGCGGGCCGGTGAGCAGTGTCCATCACTGTGACTTCAGGGGTCAGTGTGTTATTGTGAGGGACACCTCAGCGGGGCGGGGGGCATGCCTGTTAGTGACGGACCAGGCAGATGTAGGGTGAGAGTCTGGCACAGCGGAACCCGTGTGGGAGAGACGTGTCCCGTCGGTTGGATGGTGTGGAGAAGCTGGTGAGGAAGGCGGGTACCAACTACAGACTAACTCAGGAAGCTAAGGGGAGGGACAGGAATGACTCGAGAGCTGAAGATCACATTCTCCTGATATGACTTGCAGCTTTATTGGCCGAAAACCTTTAAACAGGGCAATATGTTGAATAAAGAGGAAGAGGAGGATGTCTGTAAAAGGGTTACACAGTGCAGCACACAGCAATTAGAGTAACTGACTGGACAGTGAGAGGGACAGAGACCGACAGCACTGGACAAACACAGTTAGTGGTGGTGGTGGGGAGGGGGGGAGGTGAGAATTGAGGTGAGCAGGGAGGGCACCCCTTAAATCTCAGAGCTCTGTGGTTACTCTCAGTTTTCAGTGCATTGAAATAAGAGCATCTGCTCATCAGACCCCCACTTGCCTACAGAACATACCATAATACATTAAGTCATTTTTTTTTTTAAAAAGCTCAAGTACAGTAGGAAACAGTACAAGTAAAACTCATTAATAAATATAAAAACCAGAAAGGCAAGGCGCACATTAGGAGTACAGAACAATGCCTTTACAGAGCAGAATGAAAGAATGAAACATCCGTTAAGCAGAAAACAATGGGCATCGAAGGACACACCATCTGCTACTTTAATGATTTAATTAAACCAATTAAGAGGATCAGCAGCGTTCATCGGGATTTAATCAGGTGCTAATTGAAAGGTGCCTGTTAACACCTGCAGGAACTCTGCGCTCTGGGGCAAAGGGTGCCCGCCCCTGATGGAGCAGCGTGACCAGCGATTGGCTGGTTCCGTGAAAGAAAGGACCAATGAGGGACAGGTTAGTGAGGGATGGGGGCGGGGCACATGGTGTGATTGGCAGATTAGTGGTACTGACAAGCATCCAAAACCTCAAAACCCCAGGCCAGCGTCTACTTCTACAAACAAAAAGGTACAGCCATGGACCAATCAGTGCAGCAGGCTGGGGACAGTGCAAGAGCCGGGCCAATCAGGGCACTGCCAGAGGTGGGGAGCAGGAGGGACTTACTGGAGTATCCCGATACGGAGGATGGGGTTTTGGGGCTGTGGAGCTTTATATCAGGAGGGACACACGGGGGCGCTAGAGAGAGAGAGAGAGAGACGGAGACGTACAGTGAGAGAGAGGAGGAAAGGGGCAGAGAGTGAAGACAGACAGAGAGAACAGGGCTGAAAGCAGCTGGGTTCTGACTGGCCGACACAAATAAAGAGGACAAACGGTAGATTTCTCGGAAGGATCTCCTTGGCGAGGGAAGGTGGTCAAAGCTCAAGTCTGGGTTGGCCTCGAACCCGATTGGTGGACTGCAGGAATAGAGGTCCCCGATTGGTGGGATATTGAAGACTGCCTGGGAGGGAGCTGCTGGCAGGTGGACTCCCATTGGCCAAGAGCAGCAGACCCGGGGGGCCCTGATTGGTGGGGAGGGGGGGGAGGGGCGAGGGGCGTAGCCTCCCGATTGGTCCGGACCGACTCACCTTCCTGCGTGATGCAGATGGAGCCGCTGCCCATTCCCACCCTCAGGGCATCAACCCCGGCGTCGATCAGATTCTTCGCCTGGGCGGCTGTCACCACTGAGAGCGAGGAGGCGGAGGAGAAAGAGAGAGGGGTGAGTCCCAGCTGTTGTTGGAAACGGGGAGGAGCTGGGGTTGGTGGGACTCCTGTTACTGGGGTGCCAGGCAGCTACTGACGAAAGGTGACCAACAAAAGAGTGATGATGAACTTGCGTTACGACTGGGTAACTGAAGCGCGAAACAAATATAAGTGCTTTCCGATGGAAGTAGAGGAGGGACAGTGACTCTGTGGCCCTTCAGAGAGGGAGAGAGACGGGGTGCGTCGGGGTAGTGGGGCAGAAGCACTGACCGTTGCCCCCGATGACCTGCAGCTGGGGGTATTTCTCCTTGATGTACTTGATCATGTTGATCTGGAAGATGGAGTTCCCCTGCGAGGAGTCCTGCAGGCACGACACAAGCACACGAACGCGTGAGACGCGCCCTCTGTGTCTGTCTGTCTGTCTGTCTGTCTGTCTGTCTGTCTGTCTGTCTGTCTGTCTCGCCCCCGGACCCCCCTGCCCCTCTCCGCCCTCTGCCCCTCACCAGCACGACCACGTCCACCCCCGCCTGCGCCAGCAGGTCCAGCCGGTAGCGGTCGTCCGCGTGCGTGCCGATGGCCGCGCCGCACAGGAGCTGCTTGCGGCTGTCCTTCGCCGCCAGCGGGAAGTCGCGGTTCTTCTTGAGGTCGGTGCGCGCGATGATGGCCACCAGGTTGTCCTCCTCGTCGACGATGGGCAGCTTCCCTGGGGGTGGGGGGAGAGGGGGGAGCCATGAGCAGTAGCACCCCATTTCCCATGGTCATCCTGCGCCCCCTTTCCCCACTGTTACCCCTTGAACAGCAGCACCCC